TGCTCAGATCAATGGTTCAAACGACTAAGATCGAGTGAATCTTGTGAATTCTGGCGAAGACCATCCTTTTTCGAACCTTGTAGACTGCAACTACAGATTCGCAATAACAAAAATCTGTGCCGAATAACAGAAACGACATTACTTGAAGATATTCAATATCAGCAACAGCTAACATGGATATGAAATGTAACTCAAAGATATTGGCATTCCACACTGCTTCAAACTAAAGGTTAGGAAGGAAACCGACATGAAAACAAACTTAAATTCAAAACTTGAGAAACCTTTTTTCCTGAAAAATCAATTAAGAGTAAGATTTTATAATTTTCAACCGACAATTAAGACAAGCTGCTCACTAAATTTCAACCGACAGTATTACACTTACTCAAATATATATATATATATATATATATATATATATATATATATATATATATATATATATATATATATGTGTGTGTGTGTGTGTGCAAGAATATTTGTAAACAATTGACGTGTTGCCAGAAAGAATATAAAAGCAAATGGACGTAAAATTTATTTAAATATTGACTTAAAAGCCGCGGAATTTTAAGCTTGCTTCTGCGTATGGTTAATTCGGACGCCAACTTAAAACAAAAAAGGATCTGTGCTCCAGCTCGCAAAATAGCAATGATAATTTTGATGATATTACTTTCAAATCCTCAATCCACTCCATGGAACTTCAAAATCTCACTTTAAGTCCAATACCGGCGAAAAGACCGGTTAAATTTAAATTACCTTTTCTAATAGTAAAAAGGCTAGCGTTTTTATTTCTGTTTTTTATTTCTTCTTCTTTTGTTAATATGAAGAAAGCGCTGTTTATCTCTCTCTTTTCTTCTGATACACGCACGCACCGGGGACAAGCGTGACGAGTCAAAAACGCATTTCTTGCTGGGGGATCGTGACTCATCCCAAATCAATCCAGATTCCTCTTCCCTTTTCTAATTCATTTTCATAATTACCTTCAAAATCATTCACTTCCTCCCGACAAAAGAATCACCTTTTAAATACGTTGTAACAGCCGTAGTGCAGTGGTTTACAAACTCTCCTCTCCATCTAAATTACATATATCTGGGGTTCGATTCTCACTCGATGCTTCCCTGCAGTAACGTTGTACTCTTTTTTAAAGACAGACTACGTTAAATAAAAGATGAGTAAGATAATCCTCATCTATACTGAAAAGAGCGATAACAGTTAATGTTCATAGGAAACCTATTTTCCTGAAAAATTGTTTTAAGAGGAAGATTTTATAAATTTCAACTGACTGTAGTACAATACTCGGTCTATGTTTGTCAAATGTTTCTTGATAAGGAAATGGATAATATTATCATTATCATTACCATTGGAAATTTGAAACTGGTGGATAATATTACCAGTTCCATTTCTAGTCTGTCAATATCTACCATAAGTGGTTCTTTGGCGTTGGGACATTAGGAAATTAATAAAAACGGTGTTGTTATTTAAACAAAGAATCATAAGAAATCAATGAACAGAACTTGTGATTCCACGAGCAGGTTTTATGAAAAATAGAAACTACAAGATATTATTTACATACAACCAGAAAGACACATCTGAAATGTCTACGAGACATAATGAAGAAAGAAGGCTAGGAGAGTGTAACAATTACAGGACATATACTAAGCAACAGATGCTGATGGAAACCGCGAGGAACATACCTAACAAGCTTGTGTAAATGGATGGCAGAACAGACTCGAAGAGGAAATTGCCAAAAATTATTTACATTATTCGGAATATTGTCCTCATCTTAGTCATCATATTTATTAAACTCTTTCGGCCGTTGTACACTCCGGCCTTCTTCAGGTGGTTGCAATGTTGAACTAAACACTTTTTATCGCTCACTGGAAAAAAAAATTGCAATATGAGCACTTATAAAAATGGTTGCTGAGACATTAGGTTTATAATAGCCAGAAATTCATACAGAAATATCCTCAAGGACACAGGGCACAGTGGATAAAGGCGTTGGTTAAATCCAGTGACAGGACCCAAAGAGTGTCAGTTCAATACCCGGTTAAGGCAGTGGAAGGCAAATAAGAGGAGATAACTGACACCCATTAAACATGGCACGTGGAACTAGAACAGTCTACCCCAGTGGAATAAAGGTTTCAGTTCGACATTTCAAACAGAATGAAGAAGGCCGGAGCGTACAACGGCCGAAATGTTGTAATAAATATGGCGACAAAGATGAGGACAATAATACGAGTAATATAAATAATGTACATAATACATTATCTCAGAAATATAGAGAGATACTGAAAGATCGGTACGGACCCGATACACCAAAAATATGGAGATAAATTGAAAAGTTCTGCCAGAAACTGACACGAATGTCGAAGCATTTGAAATTCCTACACCAATGCAGAAATCTGCAGCTCATCCCTTCAAGCTTGGCACCAAGACTTTCCGTCAATTCAAGGAGAGCCCGTCTTGTCGCGGAAAAAGAGGGACACGCCTTTGTCCGAGAGAT